TGCCGGGCTGCCGCAGCCCCATGAACCGCGTGCGGTTCGCCGACGCCTTGGGCCTGGAGCTGACCCAAGTGAAGGTCTTCCAGAGCAGCGAGGACCCCTCGGTGCCCCTGCACGTGCTGTCCCGCCTCTCCATCAACTCGGCGCTGTGCTGCAGCAGCGTGGACCTGGAGTTCGCCATGCAGTGCCTGGTGCCCGACTTCCCGCCGCCGGCCGACGCCGCCGACTTCGCCGCCCGGCTCCGGCGCCAGCGCGTGTGCCTGGAGCGCGTGAGCAGCTCGGACCTGGGGCTGGGCGGCACCGTGCGCGTCCTCAACGTGGCGTTCGAGAAGCAGGTGTCGGTGCGCTACACCTTCGACCGGTGGCAGAGCCTGCACGAGGTGTGCGCCCGCTGGCACAGCGGCGTCGCCGAGGGGGACAGGCTGGGCCCCGCCGACGTCTTCACGTTCTTCCTCCCGGTGCCTCCTTTCCTGCTGCGGCCCTGCTCTGTGGTCCAGCTGGCGGTGCGGTACCGAGTCGACGGGCACGAGTACTGGGATAACAACGAGGGCCAGAACTACAGCTTCACCTGCAGGAGCCACCCGCTCAAGATGCCTCGGGAGTGCGAAGAGAGCTGGATCCACTTCATCTAAGCGACGCGGCGCCGCCCTCTCCGACGGCAGACGAGGTTCTTTGGGGCAATCCGATATCCTAGACCAACGCGGCTGCGACCTCTCCCGTGGCACCGCGGGAAGCCTGCTGAAGCCCGTCGCGCTGTTCAGAGACGTTTCAAAATAAGAAAATAAGAGCTCCTTGCAAAGCTCTTCTTGGGTGTTAAAAAGCTGCCTGCCGTCTCACGCGATTCAAAGGGATCTCTCAGCATGTCAGGGCAGCATTGGCTCAACGGGGCACTGCCAGATTTAAAGCTATAATGTCTAAAAGCGAAACAGAGCTCTTGGGAAATACTGTAGATTGCGCAGGCAGAACTTTTAAAACTAATGTTTCATAATTTTAACGGCCTTTCTGTTTTGCACTTCAGTGGGAAATAGACTGTTTTGCTTTGTAGTTTTGTTAGGATGCCACTTCTTACACACTGGTTCTTGGGCATTATGCCACTGATGCAAAGTCTAGGATGCAGGTGCTGCGAGGGAATGTTTATATTCAGGTCCATTTTTATTAATATTTAAAACGCATTTAATATTTTTATTGTTGGTTTTCATTATTTTTAGCAACCACTGGCTATTAGATGGATACTATCTGACAGTGGCCCTAAAAAATAAGTTGTAAACCTGGTGCCTTTTCTTATCTGCAGTGCATGTTATAGATGCAGTCAAAGGGATTGTTAACCACAGCGTAGTGTTTGTTAAATTGTGAGGCTGCCCTTTGTGGGGAAGTTCTCTTCTTCTTTTTCCCCATGTGAAATACATGTGGGTCTCTGGAAAAAGAAAAAAAAAAAAAAGATGTTTCCCCTTTTGAATAACTGCTCTTACTAAGTAACTCCATAGCAGTGTTGCACTTCTTCCTGAAGATAGCACTTCTGCTGTCCGTTCTACCTGAAGATAACCTGATGATAAAAGAGAAATGCTAATGAATTAAGCCTCTCAACTCCTGTGGGAGACTAGTAATTATGCCTATTTATAAGTGGGGAAACAGATTTGAGATGCTAAATGCCGAGGCCACTCAGTGACCAGGCCATAGAATAGAATCCACGAGTTCTGGTGCTTACGTCTCTGTTGCAGTCTTCTCACTCTGTGGCAGTAGTGTCTTGAACCCTATAATTACCTGCTTTTACTCAGTTAAACAAAAATGCCCTGGCTCCTCCTGCTCCAGCACAATGTGGTGGCTTCTAGGAGGGATGAAGGCATGGCCGGTGCCACTGTGGATCCACTGGTAAGAGTCTCTCTTACGCAGGAGTGGGGGGATGGCCTCCCCCTTACACAACCTATTGCACTGCCTCTAGTGGGGTGAGGATCGAGTCCTGTACAGTTTTGGCAACACACAGGCTTAAATTCAGATAAGGGAAGACAATGCCTCCTACAGTGAAAATGCCTGAAAAGCTGTATTTACCTTGCATAGGTAGCCTTAATTTTCAAAAGTAACTAGTGGCCTTGAGTGCCTGAGGTTTGTTGGTTTGTTTTTTTTTTTATAGTATTCAGTTGCCTGAGCTTTATAAAGTTTTATAACCATCTGTTAAAATGACACTTTTCCAGGATGCAGATGCTTAGCACTTCCTGAAAATCAGACAGTTTATCAAGGAGGACAACAGATATTCAGGCACTCTAAACCACTAATGGCTTTTGAAAAGCAACATGAATAGTATACCGTATGCTAGTACCCACACACCTGAGCTACAAAGTACAGCCTCATGCCTTCAAACACCTAAAAAGTATGAGAGATCCAGCAACCTAAAGTGTTACTGCTTTTGTTTAAAAAGATATGGCAAAGTAATAATGAACATAACTCTTAAAATGCATACATAAGAAAACTAAGAGAGTGGACAGTGCAGCAGCAACTTTAAGGGACAATGAGTTTAACGTTCTTTTTTAACAGTATCTTCTAGTTCTTAAAGTCTGCAGGTAGCTTTAGGGAATCATCACTCGCAAGTCTCAGCTGTCAGCCAGAAGCTGGAACGGATATGTGATGTTTCCTATTGTCAGCAGTATTCAAAACATTTAAATCCTGAATTGGGAGCTGTCCAGTTGATGCATTAGCACTTGGTTTAACTGGTGAAAACTGCAGAGTGGCAATCAGAAAATCTATCTTCTGTTCCCTACCATTCTGCTGTTTTCTGTGAGACGGGGCAAGTCACTCATTTTCTCTGTAATCTGTTTCTTAATATAAGTTGTGTATTAAATAATTCTTGTAACAGGGGTCCACAACATATGGCCCGCAGGCCAGATCAAGCCCGTGGAGTTGGAGAGCTTTGTCTCTGTCCATAGCTACACTGGGGGTGGGCAGCTTCCAGCTGTGCTTGCGCTGCTGGCACTTCGCCTCACCCTCTTGGCTTCAATCCAGCATGTGGGCCAGGTAGTTTTGGCACTGCATTAGCACAGGCTGGGGTTTTACCTGTGCCTGTGTTGAAGGCAGGTGGCTAGGAGCTGTGCTCATGTTGCCACTGCTTTTCCCAGTCTGGTTCCCCCCCATCTTTGCCCCCAAACCTGGCTGCATCTAGTCCATGCAGAGCTGTGCCAGGGCTGAGCATCTGCATCCTTGATCCCTGGCCGGCTCCAGCGTCCCAGCTCTTTTGGGGGGAAAAAAAAAAAAAAAGCCCTGCTCTCACCAGCTGTCGGGGCTTCTGGGGGCTTGTGGCAGAGCCCCCCCACCACGCAGCGTGGGGCAGCGGGCTCACTTTACCTCAAAGCATCTTGCCCCTGAAGCAGAGAAGAGGGCATGGAGGAAGGAGGGGGGGGGGGTTGTTTTGTTTTTTTCCTTTTAAAGAGCCAAGACACTGCAGCCATTGACAGGGCTGGGAGAGCAGTCGGGGGTGCTCAGGGGGGTTGGAAGAGCAAGCAGGGGATGGGGCCTGGCAGGGGTGCCCCCATGGTCCCCTCTTCCAGCTCCTGCCCCCTATTTACCGGCATGGAGTCCGACTCCAGCTCTCTGTGGCAGCGAGCAGGGACTGCCTGAATCTCCAAAGCTCTCCAAATCGATTCAAACCTTTTTATTGGTCTCCCGATTAGATTCGGCCAATGAATCTCCTCCAAATTGAATCGGCACCTGAAGCTACACACAGCTGTACTGGCCAGTGACCTGGTAGTGCACTGCACTACTGTAATGCTGGATTGAATAGCCTACAAATCTCAGTTGAGGACTAAAATAACAGGATTTCCAGAAATTACAGGTTGTGTAAACTGTCCATGTGAGGTATCTGTATTATGAGTTTACTGCGTGTAGGTGTTTTGGATAAAGCCGTCATATCTGAAGTTGTATCTGTATGATGCTTTGTAAAAGTTGCAACTTGACATAGTCTTTTGGCCAAAATTCAGCCAAGGCCTGTATTACCATGACTATGACTGTTCAGTGTTTGGGCTGCTGGCTGCCTCTTCACCAAGATGTGGCTCTCAGTACTGTTCTGTATATGTAGTGTTAAGCATTTTGCAGGCAAGGTTACTCCTGTTTCCTTTTTCTGGTCTGACAGGATTGGAGTGCTTGAATGCAGTTCAGCTAGCTTCTGCAGTCAGGGACTTAAATATTGTTGGGCCTTGTATATGTCTACTTGGTTAAAAAACTGGCACTAGAGGGGGAAAAAGAATGAAAATAATCATCGGTGGAAAAATGAATATCCAAACTTCATCTTAAACCTAGGTTAGCATTGGCATAACAACCAAAAGTTAAAGCTTTGCACAGCTACTAGTAGTAGGCATTGAAAACCTACTCCTGAATTTGTTTAACAGCCATGTGTTATAAATGACATATGCCAAGGGCCAGAATGTTCCAAATGTCAGGCCTCTAAGTGGACTTAGATACGCAAGTGCAATTCTATTCCACCCCAATCGAGTCCTGACAATCCATTAATGCATCGTTTTTTTGTCGCACACTGCCATCTTACTATTAGGACTGGGGCATGAAAAAACAGCAAGGAGGAGGTGGACCCACCTGCCTTTCAAACGAACTGTTTTTCAGGGATTTGAGCAGGGTGGAATAGAGTTGCACTTAGGCATGTCAGTCCATTTATGCACCTAGCAGGTGGAATGGAATCTGGCCTCAAGTGTTTATCTGCCTTTAATTACATCCAAGATTTTTTGCAGTGAGACCAACGTGGCTAACATGGTTTTGTTTTTGCCATTAACCCAGTTTTTATATTGCTATATATACAGTCAGATGTACCCTTTCTGGTTACTTTATTTGGTGTAACATGTCTGTTGTACCTTTTAATTACAATCTAAGAAACCGATTAACTGAAATTGGTCAAATGATTTAAAATTAGCAGTTTGGGTTCTCTTAATACAAAACCTTTTAACTCCCTAGGCTAAGATTTTTTTCAAAGGGATGTAGGAGAATCAGGTGTTCAATCACAGCCTAACATCATGGTAGCCAGTCCAGTGAGATGATGAACACTTTTGTAAACTTGAGAAAACTCAGACCCATTTTAAATCAATAGGGAATGCCTGTGTTTATCATGTTGCAAGACAGAGCCAACTCTTTGCCAGTTAAGTTTGACTTGTGTATTTGATTGTCTTGTTCTTTACGTTTTGAATTGCAAATTTATTTATTGCTTGTTACAAAGTACAATCCCGTGTGCATAAGTCTAAAATCAGTCTCAATTTATAGTTTTTAAGTTATCTTTTGTTGAAAGTAATCTTGTGTGTTAGGCAATCTTACATGGGTAATAGGAAGGCCTAGGTTCATTGTTTACAGGTTGCATTGGAAACGAAAGAGAATTTTGAAAAACTGTAATTCACAAAAATATACAGCCTGTTTAGCATTTTTATGCTTTCACTATAAATTGTCTTCTCTGAGAGCTTGCTTTGACAAACGGTGTTAATGACGTTTCCATTTATGTGCCTTTTGAACTTCTAAACAAGAATGAACAAAATGTAGTTCATGAGTAATATGACTTAATGTGTCTGCTAGCATATGATGTTACTCACTACAACATGTACCGTACACAGCAAAGGTCTGTTCTTCAGAGATACTGGGTATCTGTTGCTCCCACTGATTTGAGTTGGAGTTGTAGGTGCTCATCACCTCTGAAAGTCAGGCCCTGAAGGTAAAATACTCTTATACACGACTTCAAGCTACTAATAATATTTTCTACAAACTGTATATGTAAATTATTTAGTTATGTGGATGCTAAGTAGACTATCAAGATTCCACTTATATTAATCTTTATTATAACAGAACTTTAATTGTCCTGCAGAGCATTAGAAGAAAATGAAATATAGTACTTTGAAAAGCAATTGTGCAACAGTGGCACTGTGAGGTTTCAAGTTTATATCTAAATTCTGTTTTTGAAGCTCGCCATGATTTTTCAAAGGTATTACATCCAAGACAGACATAGTGCTTCCGGAGACGCAAGTCGTGTGGTAACTATGGTGCATATTGAAAGGGGATAACAACCTTTAACTTCCCCTATGTTCTAGGTCTGAGCTGGCAGAGCAGGGTTTTGTATGTTTTGAAGCAGCTTTTGGAACCTACAAACGTGGATATACGGTATTATGGGTTTAGCCCTATAGTGGAACTTATACATGGCTTTGCAGAATGTAATACTAAGACTTGTCATCACCCAGAAACTTGTTTTCCTTTTACTTACTTTGCTGAGTGCTCTTGCACTTAAATGGTCTTCTAAAAGTTAATGGGACTAGTCTGTGTAAGTAAGGGCCAGACCCAAACTTTGAGTGGGAGTTCAGGTGCCTAAATAGGAATGAGGTGCTTAAACACCCTTCTGGATCTGGTTGAAGTTTTTCCCGATTGTGGGTAAAAGCTACACAACTAAGGCTTTTTATTTTTTGTCAGGAATGTAAGCAGATGAAAGTGGACATGCACTAATGCTGAGTAGCACTAATGTTAAGTATAAGCACTGATGCGGCGTAACAAAGTGCCATTTTTTCATGTCTTTTGCTTTGCTTTCAGGTGATAGCTGCATTTCTTCTGTCTGTTTTTAAAAAAAAAAAAAAAACTAAAAAAGCACTGAGTTACTTCCTTTTAGGTATTGTATTAGACACCATTTTTACCTTGAATGTTACTAAAACTCTTTGTATATCCTTGGTTTCTTGGTAGAAATACATTGCTAGCTTCCTCTGGTAGTGTTCCTGCCATACGCTGGCAAATGTCAAAAGCCTAGTGCAAGGCATGCATAGTGTTGATGCCGCCAGATTATCCAAAGTTGGGACTCTCGGTGTAAAGGTTATGTCATGTATATTGCAATGTCTGAGTCGGAGAGCCAGGGTAGAAAGCAGAATTGACTAGCTCAGCAAGTATGGGTTTTCAGCACAAGGGGGTTTGTGTTACCTTTTGATACAGAAGAAGGAAGACATTTCTAATGTGCAAAACCTGATTTAGTCCAGTTATGCCTTTTATCAGTTTGTGTGACTTGCACTACTGGATAAATAGAAGCTGAAAGTAACTCTTAGTAAAGTATGTGGGTTGAGCTGGCCCAGCATAAAATGGGAATGAACAAGTGATCTTTGGCTTTAATTCATTATGTGAAGAAGCTTTCCTTTGAGGTACTGCTAAGCTGATGAATATTTGCACATTACCAGTAGTAACAGTTTGTCACTGTGTATGACAGAAGATAGACTCTTGCTTGTATCTGTTTGTTTTTTCCCCACTTGTATCCTGATCCCCATCAGAATTCTCTTGTCAAAGAGGTTTGAGCCAT